TCCCGCGCCCTTCTCTCCGCCCCCGTCCCCTTCCCGCGCTCTCTCCGTGCCCGCCACGCCCTCCCCTTTCCTCTCCCCTCCCTCCTCCCCGCCCTCGTCCCCTTCCTCTATCGGCCATGCGCGCCTGCCGCAATAGCTCCGCGACCGCTTTTTCTGCCCTCTTCGCTTCGCGGACTTTCGCCCTCGAAGCCTTCGCGTCGATCTCCGCCTTGTCTGCGCGTTCTTTTTCGGCAACAGCATCCAGGAACTCAGGCGCGGTAATGTTGCCTCCGTCGGGAAGGCCAAGCGAGCCCCGCGAGGTCGCCATCTTCTTCGCGCGCTTCCTTGAGTCAAGAGGCTACCGAGTAATACCGTGCCTACTCGGATTCCCGTGACGGTGTGCCCTTGCCCCCTCAGCACCCTGAGGGCCCTTTCTCCGATGTCTTTTTCCAGCTGCTCGTTGAGGGCGGCGATGGGGACATCCTGTAGGGGTGGGCGCTCGTCTCGCCGCTCTTTCTTCTTCGCTGTGCCCTTCAGCCGGCCCAGCGCCCGCTCCTTGTTCACAGGCCACAAGCCCGCCCCAGCGAATGATCATTTATTTACCTCCGGTGTGAAGCTCAATTTCCAAGCATCCGCGATCACGCCGGGCATGTCGCGTTTCAGCGGCAACAACCCGCCGGAGTTGGGGTAGAAGGACGCCAAAACTCTGGTCACCGATTTCTTCAAGCGTCCGAAGGCGACGACATCCAAGGGCTGGGTGATGTGCGACGTGTGGGAGGGTAGCTGGAACAAGATGATTTTGAGATTCATGGCCAGCCTGATTACCTCCACGCTCACGTGTGATGCATATCCATCGAGCAAGAGTATGTGGGGTNGATCACGCCGGGCATGTCGCGTTTCAGCGGCAACAACCCGCCGGAGTTGGGGTAGAAGGACGCCAAAACTCTGGTCACCGATTTCTTCAAGCGTCCGAAGGCGACGACATCCAAGGGCTGGGTGATGTGCGACGTGTGGGAGGGTAGCTGGAACAAGATGATTTTGAGATTCATGGCCAGCCTGATTACCTCCACGCTCACGTGTGATGCATATCCATCGAGCAAGAGTATGTGGGGTTTCCGTCGAGCAACCCTCGGTCGCCGAGCTGCTTGTGGAAATCCTTCAAGTAGGCGATGAATACGTCTCCCTGCATGAACGGAGAATCCGTACAGGTGTACCTCGCACCCTCCGGGCCGTTTCGCCCTACAAACCAATCGGCCTGAAGTCGTTGCCCTTTGCAGATAATGGTTGGTGCCCAGGTGTGAGCATCAGCGCTGATGGTAGCGACACGGTGGTATTCTCTCGCGAGTTGGAGCGCGTCGAACCAACCACCTTCTGACCTGATTCCGCAAACGCCTTCGTCGTCTTGGTTCCTTGCGGGGTGGTACCTGCAACGCGCACGCGTATGTGAGGGTCGGGGGGGGTGGAGGGGCGTTAGGCTAGTCTAATGGATAGTCAAAATTACCAGCAGTAGTATACGCACGCACACAAACAAGATCGAGCTGCAAGGCCAATCGGTTGGGATCTCTGCGACAACGATAGTAGTGAGGGTGATTCTTTTGGGAGTGACGAAGACGAAGGAAAGGGAAAGGGAAGAAAGGAGGACGAAAAAGACGATGGAGCAGGAAAACGTGGAGGAGTGGAACAGAGCAAAGGGTTTGAGCCAGATGACCTTCCCCACAACAAGAAACATAGGGCTAGGGAAGAACTGC